GATGAGTTTTGTGTAGAACCTGAGAAGCTGATGGACAAGTCTCTGCCTTCCCCAAATCTCCTTCTATGATTTCAAGCATGTTTCCTCATATTTCCTCTATTTATCTGGAGAGAGAGGGGGACACAAGGCATTATTATTAAGTGATTTTCCTGCAAGGACTAGGCACGGTATTGCATGTGTGGCTTTCTGGAGCTTTAATGTTGCACCTGACATGAGGCTAGAAAGCCCTAAGCTATTAGCTCCCTGGATATAGGGAGTGAGGGGTTTCAGGAGCAGATGATTGACCAAGACAGAGGAAGATAGTGTCGGGAACGGTTTTAGGAGAGTAAATGTTTGCTAATGATGTGGCTCAGAGAAATCAAGGTTACATATCAGGCTTTGGTGTCTGGGGTACTACTGGTGCCTAACTGCAAAAGTGGAAAATCCCAGACACCAAAGTCCTGCGCTGTGTGATGGGCTGCATGGACATATGAGCCATCCCCATATCAGCATCTCTGTATGCTTGAAACCATTCTGCTCCCACACGGGGCTGCTGAAATCTCTATTTTCCATGGCGGGAGTTGGCTGCCCATCTCCCTGCCTGAGCTTCCTCCTGTCCATCTTCCTCAGAATTGAGTAAGAAGACCTTTGCCCACACAGGTAATGTCAGCCATTTATTTTGATATCAGTGATACTGATGTTCTGATGACACGGTGCCATTATTTAACCACATTCCAGGAATAGGCTGGGATCACAGGAAAAGAATGAGGCTAAAAAAGGTTATTGGAGGAGTGGGAAATGGTCTGAAATGTAATATATAGTGGTAGGAACAGTGGCACTGTGATTCCATACTGGACTGAATTTAGAGCAGTTCCACTGTAGCCAGTTGGGTCATAGCAGGGGAAAAAGTGTTAACCAAAGTTGGTGATGCTAATATGTGTCTAAAAATTATTTTCAGACTGATATTCACAGTTCTGGCATTTTGCCTTTGCCCTGAAAATTTGTACAAATATTAAAAAATGAGTAAACAAGAAAATATACTTAAATATCATCCAGTGTTTATGAAGTTTCAGCTGACCTTTGCAGTACACCCTAACTATTATAAAAGACCCTGCACTGATACGTTTTTCTTTTCTCTTTATTTTCCTTTTCTTTTTTTTTTTTCCCCCTTGGTCTCTTTCTATAGACAAAGCTGACAGCATAACATAGATCTTGAGATATGGCTGATGTGTTTTTTTTCTAAGGTGAAGGGTGTTGTTAGCTCTTTCTTATGCTAATGACTGCAGCAGAATCCCAGTCTCCTTTCAAAGTGTTAGTGGGAAGAGAGGTGTTACTGCTAAGCATCATCTTTGACTTTGGATCTTCCTTGGGGTCTCATCTACAAGATTCAGCCAGTGCCTTCTACATAACATCTGTTCTCAAGTCAGAGGGTCTTGCTGTCCCCATTTTACAGGAGGGGTTTTGAGAGACAGGAGGAATAATGCCAAATGCTTCAAAGATATTTAGTGCAGGTTAAGTGCCGAGTTTCCTTTGAAGGTCTAAACCCAAATGACAAGCTTGTGATCATGCAAAAGATTTGTATCACCCATGAGAACAGAACAATTTTTTCAGGGTAGTATCATAGCCACTCCACAACCCTTCCTCTTTCTTCTTCCTGAAGCTCCCACTGACTTCAAAGGTGAAGAATTATGGCCCACATCCCACAGCACTGTGAGCTCGGACGTGTGCAGAGCTTTACCCACACATACATTTCATCAGGGATGCTGACTCAAGTAAAATTACACAGGCTAGGGAGGACGGGTGGTTTTGGGTCTTGACTTTGTTTAGTTCTTGTGTCCTCTCACTTCAAAAACTTGACTAAGAAATGCAGAGTGTACCTAAAGATACCAAGAGTGGCACCTAATGATTGGATTCACAGTCCAGCTATACTAACTGTAGTAACCATAGAGCCAGGTGAATATGAATAGAAAAAAGGCAGAGTTACAGCTGATTCAAGCAAACAAATTGTTCTTTCTTTTAAATAACTCTGCATGAAATATATTATTGAGTTTTCATGAGAAATATGGGTATATATACATGAATTGGTTTCTCAAAAAATAGCATTGCTTGTGGAGACTGTACACAAAACCTGTTTTTATCTCTCTTAATGTGCAAGGAAATGTGGAAAGGAAAAGGTAATGTGGAAAGGAAGCATACCTGAGGTGATGTGTGCTTGTCTGCTGCCCCAACTACTGCTTTCTTAGTGAACAGCAAAATAAGAAGCAAGGATTTTCAACACTCCCATCATGCATCCTGTGATACACTTGAATACTAATAGCAACAGGCAGCTATTATCACAGAGGCGGTCAGTGCGCTGCCCGTTGGCACAGCACATTGCATCCCTCACTCAGTTTGAAATAACAAATGCCAATATTTTGGTATTGACGAATGACAATTTTATAAATATAAAAACTATTTTTTACACTGAATCAAAACAAAAATATTTGATGAAATGGACTAAGGAAGAAACATCCTTTTGGTGCGTTCTTTAGCCCATCCTTTCGATACAACAGCTTTTCTTTTTTTCTCCCCTTCCAAAAAAAAACCCAACCCATTTAATCCTAACTGTGGTTAACAGCTTCCTAATTGCATGCAACTGTTTCTTGACTTCCTGATCCCTGTCTGGTAGTTAGGAATCCAAAGGGTTTCTTAAATCAACAGGAGCAGCTGCCTCCTCGAAGCCACGCATGGTGTATGTCACCGACCATGGAAAGGAGCTGCGATACAGGGAGGAGCAGAGCTGATTAATGGGGCCAGTGTCGTAGCTCAGAGTGTGGTTGCACTACTGTGTACGGCTGTACTTACTTCCATCATTTATCTTCCAGCCTCTGCCACACACACACACGCAAACATACACGCACGCTGTATTTTTTGCAAGTGATTGAGCAGTCATTAGAAACGCAGGAATGCACAAGGTGCAGAGGGATCTGTAGCTGGTGATGTGCCTATAGGGGTAATGCCTCCTTTCATCTCGTTCTTTGGACAAGTATGAGAAACGCTGACAAAATCCAGTCCTTGGTCTGAAATTTATCTCTCTGTCCTTAGCAAACTCTTTCCCACAGAGGGAAAAGAGAGGGGAAAAAAAAAAAAAAAAAAGAAAAAAAGGTGAGGAAATGGCTGCATTTTGTGGACTCTGTTTTAGGTTTGATAAAGAGAGGAAACAAACTGAATTGAGTGTGGATCTAGGACTGCAAGTGATGGAGCTGCGTGAGCCAAAGGAGGGTTGGAAAAGCCAAGCCAGCCTGGAAAGCCTGGTGAGAGGAGTGACTTAGGGAAATATACCCCAATCCTCAAAGAGTGAGATGCTGGGAGAAGTGTGGAGATTTGGCAAAACAGATTGTATTTGGAAAATCCACATGGTCCATGCAGCCCCACAGGCTACTGCAGTTATGGTGTGCTGTCATTATTTCTGCCCATATGGGAGCATCAGGAGGTGCTGTGCCCATTTCTGGCTCACCCAGCAGGTACAGCCTTTGGTGCAAACCCACAGCAAGGCCTCAGTTTGTCCTTCTGAATAGCTCATGGTGAGAAACCTCAGCTGCCCTGTGCTCCCAACACATCTGAGGCTGCAGTGGAAAAGCCTTAAGGAGAGCCACTGGGAAGATGAAAGTGAGTTCTCTCGCTAAGGCTTGCTGAAAGCTTTTAGAGAGACAATATGAGTGAGGAATGTGGGAAGAGGCAGAAACTGCTGTGGTAAAATCATCTAGTTAAGTGGGAGGGTAAGAGGTGAGCTGAAAAAAAGAAGACTAAAAGCAAGTTTTAAGAAAATGAGTGCAGGAATCTGGTATAGTGGAAAACCAGAGGAAGAATTAAAGCAACAGCGCTGCTGCATCAAGTATTTCATCACGGTGCTTGAAGGATGTTCCCCTTATGGGCTGTGCATGCAATACCATTACCACTGACTCAGATTAATGCTGGAAATCCTGGCAGCTTTACTTTTACCTGGGGACTGGGAAATCTGAATTTGGGTTTTGCAGCTTAAGCAGCTTTCCAGTGGCGAGGCAGAGGAAATCACCAAAGATGAGGAGTCCTGTGAGCAGTCATCAAGCACTGCCCACTGTAACACACTGCACATCCTGCAGGCTCCTGCATCAAAAAAAAAACAGCTCACCTGTTCTAGTAATCAAAGACTTGTGGTATGGCTGCCCCTTACAGCTTGGGTCTTTGTTTTTTCATGGGCTTGCTCCCCTTACTGCAAAAATCCTAACTATCCCTTGGGTTTTCACCATCCTTCTGTGTGTGTGAACATCACTCCTTCCAAAAAAAGGGACTGAAAGAGCAGCTGGTATGCAATTCCCTTCTTCTCCCCCAAAATATCAGGAATATTTCAGGGATTTTATGTTGTGGAGTTCATGTAGTTCTCTAATGAGATCTAAAGCTGAGAGAAAGGTAAGGAGTTTTATCCTGTTTACATCTTCCTGGTTTTGGATTTGCTGACCTTTCTTAATTGTTTAACTGTTTGGATTGTTAAAAAGCAGCATATACAAGCCAAATCTTGCAGTCCTTACTCAAGGTCATGACCGCCTTGGTTGAGAATGTATTGCAGGACTTGTTCAGGCATGAATTAGCCAATAAACACAACTGGACATGTAGAAAAGAGGTTTTGGTAAGTTGCTCAGGTGTGGCACCTAAAAACTCAGGTTACTGAAGGAACAGAGAAAAATCAAAATGTTCTGTTCAGTAAAAGTTGTAGTCTGCTGTACCCTTCCCAGATACAGACAGGTGCCAGTTACACTAAAGAAAGTTTTTGTCGGCTGGGTTTTTGTTTGTTGGGTGATTTGTTTCTTTTCTTTGTAGAATTAAAGATTATAGAACAAGCTCACATACTGTGGTGAGTTTTTTCAGTGATGCACAGGTGGTTTAAGTAAGGCTGGAGCACAACCTCCAATGTTTCTGAGATTACTTAACTGTTTACAGCTGTCCTTTTAACGAGCCCGTTAGAGCCAGGTGCCTCCAGCTGAGCCTCAGTCTCTCCATTGCAGGTCCCAAACTTCATCAACACTACACTCCCACCCCACGAGCAAGTAACAGCCCAGGAGATAGACAGCTACTTCAGGCAGGAGCTCATCTACAAGAGGAACGAGAGAATGGGCAAGAGAGTGATGGCGCTTTTACGAGAGAACACAGATAAGAGCTTCTTCTTTGCCTTCGGAGCAGGTATGGTGTGAAATGTTCTTTTATTTGGATGTTCTGGTTGGGAGTAAAATGATTTGAATGCTTTGAGATTCTGTTCCTGGTATTGTGGGAAGCTTTCTCTATGGGATTTATCCTTGAAGCAGGAAAGCTTTTGTCTGTGTAAACCTGCTGTGTAGGAAATGAATCTTGTTCAGACAGGTTGTGATTTGGCTGCTCCTGAGCTTTTCATTGGGTTGTCCTGGTAGAAACGTGAAGCTATTAACATTTCTCACACCACTGCGTTCATTCCCTTTCCCAACAAACTCTTAATTTCTCATGTTATGTTTGTGTTGTGGTTGTGTTTGTGGCTGCGAGTATAGGATGTACTTGAAGGGTCTTTGAATTTGCAAGAGTGGGAACACAAGTCTTGCCATGGTAAGGGACTTGTCTGTGGGCTGGGAATCCTGCCCTGGGGTTTCAGACCTTGGGACTTCTGTGCATTTTCTACATGGGTGATTTTGCTGCCTTGGAGTTGCATTTCTGTCAACTGGATGTCTCTGGACCTTGTGCAAGTATGTGAGTTATAAACGTAGCTAAATACTGCTATTTCTAAATCGTTAAGGAACATCTGATGTGTCCTTCTGCACGTTCTGACTTTCTCCATGCAGTCTGCAGAACGAAGATGTTTGTAGTACTTCTGTAACAGTATGTGCAGCTGTCCTTTCTCTGGTAATTATTTTGCCTTTGCAACAAAGTCAATGTTTCTGTGTTATAAGAGCATAAATAATAACTGCGTAGGCCCCTTTTCAGCAGAATCCTGAGCAGCAGCTTCAGTGGTTCTTCAGGCTGCCCTGACTTCAAGGCAATTTCAGATTTCTGTGCTGAGAACTGATCTGGTCTTCCTTCTTCTTGCTACCATTTCTCATCTTTAACAGAACTTTGCTTCCCATCCCATGGTTCTTGCTATGAAGTTTAGCAATGAATTGCCTTTCACTACTCACTTTGGTGGGAATTTTGATTAAAGGCTGCAGGATTTAATACAGTTAGATGCATCTTTATGTATTTATTTTTTGAGCGTATCCAGACTGCATTTTTCCAAGCCTATTTTATTTCAGGCTTTTCTCACACTTTGAGGAGTTTTGCTCAATTTCATTTTACTTTTTACAGTAGAAAATACATCACTGTGGCTCATAGTTGAATAGGGATTCATTTAAAAAAAAAAAAAAAAAAAAGTTGTCTAAGCCATGGAGCTAGGATTATCAGAGATTACAGAATGTGGTGGTTCTAATATAGTTTTCTGTTCAGGAAGCCCCTAGCAGGTAGTTACTGAAGCCTGGAGGATAGATGGCACTGTTGCCTTCTTGCCCTCCTCTGTGCCTGCATCTGCTGCAGACATTGGCTTACAGCAGGATCTTAGAGTGGAAAGATCCTAATCCCTGCAGCTATTTGTGTGTACTGGTAACAGAAGTGCAATTAAATGGGTACTCATTATAGATGGATCTCCTTAGAAAGCTATTGCTATGGATGGGTGATTTGGGCTTTCACCCCCCTCACCTGTAGCTGAGTGCATCTACTCAGGGCACCTGGGCAGCTTCAGGTGTGAAAGCTGCCTTGTAAAAAATCAAGGTCCATTTCATCTTTTGCTGCCTGTTTTTGGCTTTGTTGCAGAAGCTTTTGTCACTGGGTGGTTTCTTTCTGCCAGCTCTGACTCTAACAGGACAGGGCAGATAAATCCTGTGGCATGTACTGAAAACCAGAGCAGGAGAGATGCTGAGGAAAGCTTTTTGTTTTGGGTACTTTGTTCTAGCATCCCTTTGGTCTTCCTTGGTAAAGCCCTCCATCCCTGCAGGCCATTCTCACGCAATTAATTCCTTCTTTCTTCTCTGGGTTATTTTTTTTTTTTCCTTTATACAGCCAGTACTGAGAGTACTGCTGCATCGTGGGCAGTGTGGTTCAACAGCCTGGGCATCTCGCAGATTGAGGGAGCAGTGGGGGGGGGGGGGGGGGTATGTTGGAACATCAAAGCAAGTTGAGATCAGGACAGATTTTAGAAACACAAAGAGAAATGGACCATTTTTATTTTGTTGAAAAGTTTTTTTGTTCCATTCAGAAATACTAAAACAAAAGTCCTAATTCTAAACTAAGCTTTTCCAGTATTCTGTTGTTTTGTTGTTTTTTTTTAAATAAGAAATAGACCTCACCAGATTCCCACTCCTACCTTCCTGTGGCATTACTCATACGTTAAATTCATTGGAACTGCTCAAACTTCCAATGTATTTCTGTATAAAACACATAAATGAAAATGGCCATTTATTCTTTTCATTTCTTCATCCCCTCCAAGAAAAATACGGGATTTGGGTAAGATGGGGCACAACTCTAACTCCTTCCTATACACTTCAGTCTTTTCCTGCCAGGGCTTACCGTATTCAGGCTTAATGTGCAAATCTCGCCATGCTTGTATTCACACTAACTCTACTCTAGCAGAGAAGCCCCATTTATTGTTTGTGTGGTTAAATGATATTTTTCAGGTAACAGCCCTGCTAATCTTTCTCTCTGAACGAATAAATAGAGTGCTTGAATAAAACAAAAGATTTTGTGCTTGTTCTCTGTTTTGAAAATCCATCATGTACTGTTAGGTGTTATTGATCCATAGTAACAGCGAAGCGCCTCAGCTCTGACATATCCACGTGATTAATAAAGGCCCCATTTACAGTCAAGAAACAGAGATGCAGCCAAGAGCGCACGGGCTGTTAAAAAGAGTTAATATTTTGGCAACTAAGACTATACACATGAAGTCAATGTTTAAGAAAAAAATCACTCTGGTTTATTTCATTTTTATGGGCAAATAATTTTCAAGTAACACATATGATAACAGATGGATAAATTTATGTCTGCAGTTAATTTGAAGGATAATTTCCTTAGGATGTTTTACTCAGTCGCATTTCTTTCTTTCTTTTATGAGAGCTGTCAGTTTAGTTACTCAGAGCTGGATTTACTGCTTCAGAAATTCAGATGCTGCTTCAGTTCAAGCTTATTAGCAGCCAAGTCAGTAGGCTTTAGAATGGTTTTTCTGGTTAATTAAAATTTAAAAGAAAAGTTATTTTTTCTGTGCTGAAATATAAGCACCATAGTGTTTCTTGCAGCAGGATGGGGATGGAGCCATCTATGGGGCTCAGTGCTACAGTGGAGGGAAGGATGCATTCTTCCAGCTGTGGGCAGCCCCTCCATCTGCAGTGCAGTGAAATGACATGGCCATGTGGGTGACCACAGCTCCCAGTGAAGTCAGTGTGTTTTGCCATGGCTCACCACCCGATCTAGTTGGGCCTCTGTAGTTCAGCTGTAGGCATATGTGGCTGAGATTAGGTTGAAATTCCTGGGATGCTGTGTTGTAGAAGTCTGCATGCTGCCATTAAAACAGAGGAATAATCCTGCTGGGCAGGGTCTGATTCTCTTTTTGTTCCTTCTGCAGGATGATTTTTATTTTTCTGTTCAGAAAGGGTGCATTTCTTCCCTGTTCTGCTGAGATTTTTGTCAGCCAGCATCATCAGTAATGACTCAGGTTGTCCTAAACTAAACTGTTAATAATGCTACATACAGCATTTGCAGCAAGGCTTTGGAAACTCTCTGGTCAGAATGTTAAATGGTATCTGGGACTTGGAAGTGATTTGCAAGCACTGTGGCTGTGTTTTCACATGCTGGTAAATGCTAAGTCTCTCTAAAGGGTGTGAGAGCACAGCGAGACTACAAAAGCCATTCGTAGTCCTCTGCTCCAGCTTTCTCAGGATTTCCAATGGGAATTCCATCACATCTCATTATGGTTATAGAAGATAACAAAGGCAGAAACATTCACCCATCGCCTTCTGTAGTTGAGAGTGATCTCCAAGGTGGCTGAGATCATATTTGGTTTGATTCACTACTGAAATGTGCTTAATTTTCTCCACAAACTGTAGAGAATCTGTGTATGCAGCTACTGGTGATGTAACTGTCTTGAATGTTTACCTTTTTATTTATTTATTTAAATAAAGATGGAGGCCATAACTGAGATGGAAGACTGCTGTTGAATTTGGGTGAGAGGAAAGATGGCAGGAGGTGGGAGTCTTTTGTTACTGGAAACCACAGTTGTGTTCAGTAGTTTGGGAAGGGAAACAAAGCCATAGATACTACACACAGCTTGAACATGAACCACTGAGAGGGCCTTTGTGAAAGCTATTAGCACCTGCCACGAGATCTGGCATCCAGGTTCACATATGATACTTGAAAGTGTTTTTTCAGAAAGGAAATGCCTTGAGGCTGACATCCAGCTGCATGCTGAGGACTGGGGATTTACAGATGTTGAATATGCAAATGGCTGTTTTGCACTCCCTGCTGGTGAAGTATTGTGTACAGACTGGGCTCAAAGTTACACCCACTGTTGTGCTATTTGAGAATAAACAGCCTCGTGTCGGAAGTACAGTTCTCCTTCTTCCACAAGTTATGCAGCTCTTTGCTATTTCTATTCTTCCTCTTGGTTCCTCAGTAGAATGAAGAAGGAGGGAGGAAAAAAAAAAAGCATGCTTATGGGCTGGGATATAAAGAGACTTTCTCCCCGGGGTCAGACATCCTGGTCCAGCACTGATTAGTAGCGCTGCTGACATCACTGATGCAGTTCTCCGGTTGTCTCAGCAGAGCAAAAGAAGTTGGCGACCAGGAGATGGAACTTGGCAAGCCTACAAAAAAGAAGAAAAGGCTGAATTAACGTTTTGCAGATGCTAGAATTCCCTTCACTTGTGTTTATTTGGGCATCCAGATACCTATACTGACATTGGTCTGTTTTTTGTGTATGAACTTCTATAGTTTTTAAGGTAAAGAATCGCTTTGCTTTTAAAAATATTCTCACATGCTAACTTTGACCAAACCCATGTAATTGAATTTTTTGAAAGTCCGCATTGAACAGGCAGGGTCTGATTCTCTTTTCAGACACTCGGTTGTAAATCAGGATTTGCTCCACTGGGGAATAGCTTGTTCCAAGTGCAAATCCAGCCTGTAGCCTTTTAAAAAAAAAG